TTTCATGGGGCTTAAAATGACACTTACTGAAGCCAAGTTGAACAGTTGAGCCCATTAATTGTTTATGTGTGATTTATAAAAAATGTGTAGCCTCTCATAGAAATAATGAGTCTAAGCATACATTATTTACAAAGAACTGTAAAATACAGGACAAATCAGAGCAAACCACTGATGTTCTTAGATAAATACTAATGTAGCTCTGACTGATTCATGAGGTTATTAGAAGACAAAACAAAAATGAAAACAAATGTTTGGAAAAAACTATTTCTATAATTTTATGGTGAGATTGAAGCAGTAATCCTTTTTAACAATGCATGATCAATACCTTATTTGACTGACTATCAATCCTTATTAGCAGTATTATTACGTTTTAGATGGCCCGATAGACTCGAATGAAAGGGCTCTGTCTAGATAAAAAAATGTGTCCTATCATTGTGTATGGCAGCACTGACTGTATACTACTCCAGGGTAATTTCTGTTATAACACACCTCATATTTGTTCCTGCACTCTGACATCATCCACTTGGGAGACATAATTCCTACTGTCTTCAGTGAGAACTCAGCTCTGACTCATTTGCCTTCCTTAGCTCAGGATTTCTCATTCAGCACAAAGGCTGACTTGTGTGAGCTGAATGAACAGAAGAGAGGAGAGATTTTTCCTTTTCCTAAAATATATTGCTTCAATTTCAAACCTCTTTGACTTTTTGCTTGCATTTTTTTTCTTCTTTTGCTTAGGTGTGCACTGTATTTCTGCTTGACTGTCTGATATTTATAGACAGCTGATAATAAAAGATACAAGCCTGTTCTCACGGTATTCAGTGGATGACAGCCAGCTTGGTTTCTCTCTTTTTTCATTCCTTTCTCATCCTCAAAGCTTGTCTCGCTCTACCTCCTCTCTTATTTAAAGACCCTCAGTCTCAGCTCCTCATTCAGAACGGTATTAGTATTCTTTGTGTTTCAATGTGAGCAGGACAATGCCAGCATCTTTTTTTTTTTAGCCCCAACTGAGATGAGCTGAATTCCCATGGGGTCTACGTAAAATCTGGATTTACTCATGTAATTTAAGTGAACTGATTTCCTAAAACTATATTTTTGAGTATTAGATACTCATGATCTGAAACATAGTTTATAGGTTGATTAACCGGAGTTTCACAAAGGATTAACTTACTTTTGATTACCTAGAACAGTTGGATAAAACTAATTTGGTCTGTGGCAAATGTGCCTTAATTTTAATCTGTGCGAGCGTTCAGATAAAAGCCTTGATCAATACAATTATGCACATCAATATGATGAGAGGTAACAGAGAGTCCTTAAAACTCACTAAAAGCCAGCAGGAAAAGTAAAATCTTAAGATCTAGTAATAAGAAGATAAATTTCCACAAAACCTGAAAAAATAACTAAGAAGTATGGAAAGTAATATGACTGATTTTATATCTATTTTTCTGTGTATGTAATTTGTGTCCCTGATTATTTATAGAACAGAGCTAGGTAAATGAACATATATTCCAGTTTTGTATTACTCAGTAACAGAAAACCTTATCATAGACATACACAATGCTTCAGAAAAAAATAAATTCAATGTTATTGTTTTATTAGAATCTGACTAAAATTGGACAAATCAAATTAGATAATGATTCATAAGGAAAGTTTCTTTTTTTAAATGATAAAGGAATATAGAAGGCAAGGAGCATAATGCTTAGATGACAAGATCCATATCAAAACTTTGGTAAATAAAATGAAGATCACTTGTATTAGACACCAAACCAGCATCTATAGTTTATGATATTTTGGAGGAAATAAATCACAATATATAAAAAATCAAATGAGTAAATTACTTTCTCATCAGTGCTAAGTTCTCATCCCTATTCTCTAGTAACTACGTAATAAATAATAACCTATTGAAAGAATAATATGTAAGTTATTAAAATCTAGTTTACATTACTTACTTATTACAGTTACTTAAAAATTATACTTTTGTTGTACGAAAATCAGACAATTTCAGGGCTTGGTAGGCCTGATCTAAACCAATCCACAATGCCAAAATATTTTAGGTCCTTCTGTAGGTAAAACTTGAAACTCTGCCCCTGGCTGAGGTATTCTGTAACCTCTAAAAGGTTTTCTTCCACGATTTATCTATATTTACCCGCTGGACTCTTGCCATCACCTTTGATCAGCTCTTCCTGCAATGTTTATCTAAAGCATTCACTTAGCATCGGCATTGCCATCAGCAATTTTTATATAATGTGCTCATTGTTATGTTTAATGTCACTTTCCACTTGAAGTTATCTTTTCTAAGTAGAAAAATGTACTTCTGATCTCATCTGACCCAAAAAGGTACATATTAGCTGGTTCACTCATTACCCCACTGTTACCATCTTCCTCTATGCTGCTTCTGTGATTTGTGCTCCTCTTGGACAGCCTGTCACTTTAAGTGCATTCACATTTCTCATTAAGACTTTTAGTTCTTCAACACACTTTATATTTTAGATGATGGATTACACAGTACTTTCTTCCTTTATGTTAATTATAATACATTGTATTTTAAACACCCTAGGGCACTGTACAACAGACATATTCAATAACACAATATTAAAAAGTAGTGTTTTACCGACACCGATACCAGTATTGGCCAGGGCGCCGATACCGCACTAAAATGGTGGTATCTGTATCGGCGAGTACTGACAAATAGGGCACCGACACCATTTTGAGAGCCAAAACTTTATTCAACTATTGTCACTCATTCCAGGTAGGCAATAAAAAGTTCTACTGGATTCACTTTGTATTAGTCTTTTTCTTGACAAAGCCATGATGGCAATTATTTTACATCCAAGTAGCACGCAGTTCTTCATATATACAGACACGTCAATTTCAAACAGATGGTATTGGTATCGGACGATACTGCACAGCCAGGTAAAAGTATTAAAGAGAGAAAGGCAATCAGTGGAGGTATGCAGTCTTGAGCAGAGGAGTTTTTATCCTTGATTTAAACAGATTTAAAGTATCAATATTGTGAAAAGTAAGATGGAGTGAATTCCAGAGTTTTTTTCTCTATCAAACTGGTGAACCCTGTGTACTAGCTAGATAACTTTTAAAATTATTTGTGGTGTATTTCATTTAGGAGTAGAAAAGCTTTAGTGGCTTAATACATATGTATGCCAAAATTTCCAGTTTAATAAAACAGAAAAATATAAATTCTGTTTCATCTTCTAATCACTTGACAAATACAAACAACTTTAAATTACGACATTACACAAATGTCCAGTAGGTAATATAAAACAATCTGATTTTAAGAGCCAATAGGTGGGAATCTTTTTTCAAGGTACAATGCTTAAAGATGCCCATGAGTAAAACTTAAATTGAACTGCTGCACATTATATCTATAAAGGTAAGGATGGAATAAAAAAAACAACAACTAATCTCTACAATTTTATACATATATCTTATTAACAAAAAGCTTAATGAAGCAGAAGAGGGTTGAACTTAAGAGGACAACAACAACAAGCCATCTGGGAATAAACTGTTGTTTACTACACTGAATTACTCACAGAAACACCCATCCTCCCACGCACCAGAGGAGTGTACAAACAAAGACAGACATACTTGATGAAAATTTGTCACATGTGAGGGCTGACACACATCAACCAGTGGAGTGGGCTGATATTTGCACAAAAGCAGCCAAAAAACATAACTGTAAATCATGACAGTGGGTGTGTTGTTGGCTCGAGTAATAAAAGAACATAAATATAATTACACTAAAAGAATATTTGGGAACGAAAGAAAGGGAATAATCCATTGGGCAAGGCTCAAGACAAGTATTTCTTCATGCAGCTGCAACATGCCTCACAGCCAATACAGCAGGCTTCTCCTGCTACTTCAGGACATATTTAGGCCAATCGAACGCCTGACTGAGGTCTCCTAGGAAAGAAATACAGCCTTATTTAAACTGTAGAGGCTTGGCTAATTTGCCTGAGAGGAGGTGACGCTTTTAACAGGGCATGAAAATGGAGAGAGGTGGTCATGCACCAGAAAGAGATTATGAGTAGGTATGTTTGAACATCATGAGTCATGAAGATCTAATTTAAGAGGGGAAATAAAACAAAACAAATAAGTGATTATTTCTTAATTTTATTGGGATTATTTTACGGTAGCTATCTGTTGGGTCATTTACCATATAATGGTAAATGATCCAATAGACTATCATAGAGGAAGCGCATATTTAATTAAAAAGCCAGGGGCATGTTTAGAGTTTAGTATGAACTGGAATGTATTTAATGGGTTTGAAATGCAATGGAATTGAGTAGTGTCTCATCAGTAGCCAGTTTTAGAAGGAAAAAGAGGTTTTGAACCGAAGATACGATGATAAAGGTGGAAATAAATAACAATGGTATTGTGGATGATCATCAGTGCCCTAGATACAGCGGTCGATGGCTCAAGTTGTGGCATTTTCAGCACTGTTGGGCAGTGGACAGCTCCGCTCACTGCTGTGGTGACATACTGCCGCCTGCCTCAGCCATGCGTGTTTTCACATGAGGAAGGAGATGAGCAGAAACCAGTATGGAGACGCAGAAGAAAATAGGCGCACCGAAAAGTGACCATGGTAACAAAGGAACAACAACACAGAGGATAAACGAAATTCTGCATAAATAAAGGGAGCATTCGGCAAAATTAGCAACCCGTGGAAGCCAAGTTCAACAACATTACGCCCAACAATCAAGGCGGAGATCTTGCAGCCAGAAGAAACAATCTGTCGTCCTCCACAAACAATTGGGCACATCACATGTCGAAGATGTAGGCTACTATCAGAATGACAGCCAGCCCGGCGCGTGAGCTTCTGTGTGCTGCTGCACAGCCAATTCTGCACAATAAAAGCCCAAAGTCACGCTGCGTCCGTGGGATCCGCCACAAACCAATAAAGCAATCCGCTCCCCCAATAGGAACCCAAACACCAAGCTGATGAAACCACCAACAGCTATAAATGCATGGATATGGAGGCTGTCTACCTGTCTCCAGGTGCAGTGAGATCCGCGCCTCGTTGATGTAAGGCGTGTCACTCTTGGACCGGACCCTCCGAATCGGTCTGCGGTCTACCTCCTCCTCCGGAGCCGCCGCCATGTTCGGCCAAGCCGAGCAGCGTCCACAGGCGACCGGCGGGACTGAGGGAAGGAGAGAGGGAGAGAGCCGGTGCCGCAGCAGCCAGCAGAGCGCCCAACCGGAGACACGCTGTGGGAGGGGGCGGAAAAAGGAATAGAAGTGAAGAAGAATAAATGTGAGGGTTGAGGGGGAGTTTTTCTCTCTGTTTTCCAGCTCAGGGTCCAAAAAAACAGCGACGCATCCCAAACACATCACAGTAATTGGCCTGTGAGAGTGAAGGGAATTAACCTGAAACATATGTTTAAGATGCAACATTATGCCAAAACAATCTTTACATCTCCAGAGACTTACAAAGGAAAAACAAAAATAGAAATAGATAAGTTAACTAATTAAAGAACATTAAATATCTCAAGATTTCCAACACTGTTGACAAAATTGAGCAGATTGTATTTGTCCTAAATTTACTGTAAATATAATATTGATTACACTCAAATAACACATCCTATATCTGAGTGAATGAAATACTGCCATTGAATACTGTCGACGTGAGGGTTGAGGACCCAAATGCAGAGATGAGTTCTTGTAGGTTTAATGTAGTCAAAGAAACAAAATACAAGAATAAAAAAAAAAAAACCATTAGAAGTCAGGAGAATACACACATGGGGAGCTAAGTAACAACAAGGAACCAGCACTTAAGAACTGCACAGGGAGAGTATATATGGGAGACAGAATAAAGCCTGAGGTGATCAGCTGATATGGAGCAGGTGTGGATGGAAGAGACTAAAAGGGAGCTAGAAGAAAGAAGACAGACACAAAGGGGCAACAGAGAGTGGGTTTTTTAAAAGAACCACTCTCTCCAGTAAAAAAAAAAAAAGTGATGTTCTCATAGCTAATGCAAGTGTACTGTGTCCACATGGGACTATATAGTGGACTTTATAGCAAAGTCAGTTAACTGACCATTCGGAAAGTTGGTCACTGCTTTTTGCTCCATTGGTCACATAACTCCTCCTCCATTGTGTGGTCCCTCCGCCATCTTTGTTATGACAGCGGGCAGGTGTGACAGAAAACTCCATAATGCTTTGCAAGGAGAGCTATCCATGCAAAGCATTCTGGGATATATCTGCCTCTTCTGAGGCCTTTCATTTCTTCTCATACACTTTGTGAGAAAGGTGAGCTTCTATGACTGTCTAAAGTCATAGCTCATCACAGATGTATGCCTGAAAGTGCGCATACGCAGAAAAATATAGCTAATGGGGCGAGGGCATAGAAAAGCCTTCCGTAAACATATCACCATAGTTATTGATAATTAGGAGGACCACTTATTTTGATGATCTGACCAGAAATAGAAGATTGTCCTCTATAACTTTGAATATAACACAAAATGGAAAAGAAACCAAAGATCAACAAAAACGAATTACTTGGCAAATTCAAAACCAAAAACTCAAAGTCCAGAAGGGGAAAACCACAACGACTGTGTTTTGTGCAAATTTCAATCTGTTGACAACACAAAAATCCTTAATGGAAATGTAATGGTGGCCTGGATTTGGACACAACACAACACACAACATTAAAGTGGAAAAACACACTACAGGCTGATCCAGCTTTGATGCAATGTCTTTAAAACAGGTCTATATATATATATATATATATATATATATATATATATATATATATATATATATATATATATATATATATATACATACATTTTTATTTATTTTTTTGTTATTATTATTGGCAATAAAGCAGTGGTTCTGCAGACCACTTTATTTTTATGCACGTAGCAGAAGATTCATATATTTAAAATTGACCCACACTGAACGGATGATCAAAGGCCCAAACATTTTTGTTAAAGAAAGGCCCCCAAAAGGAGAGAATCTTAACATACTATCAGCTAATGACCTGTCTATAACCAGCCAATAACCTGGCATCATGGGAGCAATGATACATTGGCAAATAGATCAAGAATGGCAGAAACACAGAGAACTACTGGTAATGGCACAAGAGGAGCCATACACCAATTACTGGTTAGCAAAACAGTCTTACTCAGAAATAGGGCCACTATCAACCACTTCCTGTACATGGATGACATAGAGCTGTATGGTAAGAGTGAGCGAGACATTGACTCCATGATCCACACCATCAGGATTTACAAAAGGGACATTGTAATCTCATTTAGGCTGAGGAAATGTGGATGGAGGTGGCCAAAGAGAGGAAAAATAATCCACAGAGAGGGGATCACGCTCCCAGTGGGAGAATAGTATGTGTAAAAAGAGCTATAAGTACCTTGGAATACCACAGTCAAATAGGAACCAAAGGAGGCCACTATGAAAGCAGCAACAGACAAATACCTGCAACAAGTAAGGCAAGTTCTGAGAAGTCAGCTAAATTGCAAGGACAAGGTCTGGAAAATTAGCAGCTATGCCTTGCCAGTAATCAGATACCCTACTGGGTTGCAGCATATGCTTGCCAAAGGAGGAGATTCTCACCACTGATAGTAAAACTAAAAGCTACCCACCATGCATGTTGGATTGGACCCAAATCCATATCCACAGACTATATGCCCAAGACAAAAGGAGGTGGAGTCCGAGTGAGCATCAGGGCCACAGATGCAAAAGAACCATCCAGGCGCCAAGACTATATATCAGGAAGATTTTAAAAAAGGGCTAACAGTGAAGAAGGTCTCTAGGAATTGAATTGAAAGCTTTCTCAAAAACAAGCACAGCTATTTTCCTTTTCAATTAGCTGTGATCTTATTATTGTGGTTAAACTATGAATGCAATAAATAGTCTCCTGTATATCAACAGCCATTCTGCTCATTCACCAATACACCATATTCTCTAAGTACTTAACACATCCGTGAATATTTGTTGACAAGTGTTCCAGAATAGATTTAACGTATGCAGTACTTATCAAGCTAATACCTCTTTATATCAACTACACCTTTGGGTATATATTAGAAATAAGAAATAAAAACAACGTGTTAATTTTAATCCTCTACTCACTGGGTCTTAATAGTGAGGAAAACGCCATCCACCAGGCTCCCAGTGAGTCCTGTTAGAACTGTAACCTTTTCAAGTTTGCTTCAGTTGACATTTTGTTATGGTAAACATTGCTATGATGAAGTCCAGTGATGTAAGGGTTGGAAAAGAAAACCGTTACTATAAAATACACCAAAAGCACAGTACTCCTAATGCTATGAAACTTGAATGAGAATACTATATACATATAGTATATATATATATATATACATATAGTATATATATATATATATATACATATAGTATACGGTATATATATATATATATATATATATATATATATATATATATATATATATATATATATATATATATATATATATATATATATATGCATATATATATATATATATATATATATATATATATATATATATATATATATATATATATATATATATATATATATATATATATATGCATAGATTTTTGTTGTTGATAAAATCCGATGTGTTGTATCCAGAAAATTTCAGAAAGTAAGTCTGCATAATGCTTAAAATTGCTGGACAGCAAATAATTAAAAAATGTAAATCAAATACGAATTTTATTACCACATTTTATAAACAAAAAGGTATAACCGTGACAGCAATACAGCTTCTTTTTTTTTAAATTATTAACAATAAAGTGAGTAATAACAAATTTGCTCCTGTACTGTATACTAAAATGAAACTGAGTCTTTGACACTATTGATCATGCTGTGCTGATAAAAGGGGTGTTAGATTAATGAGGTCTCATACTTTTAGATATAATGTTTTAAGAGATATCACTATTTTCAAATATGTAAAGTTGACTTTTTTTATTTGTTTTAACTGTGGTGTAACACAAGGTTCTGTGTTTTATTCAAAACATTTTAAATTTTAAACAAATGATACTTGTGAGGTATCAATTAGTCTAGGATTTACCTTAATTGCTTTTGATACATTTGTTGGAGGCTTGAAACAGTTCACAGCCAAAGGTTTGAAGTGAAAGCCAGAATGGGTTATGTCTACTTAAAACTGTTCTACAGGTTTTTGTTTACAAGTTCTTAAAAAAAACAAAGACAAAAAACAAATCAGCGTATTTTAACAGTTAATTAACTTTGTTGATAGCAGCACTTTCCTCCTCAGTTTGAATTGGTTTACATTGAAACTCATACATGAACTCAAATACTTAAAAAATAGCAAAAAATGTTCTTCAAAAATATATTAAAAGTGCTTAAGGGTTACTAGTTATTGTTGCAAATTACACCAGAAAGGGAATTGCGTTTTATAAACATTATGTTACACTAAAAGACACTTTCTGTCATAGAAATCTGCATCAGTTTAACAATTTTTCTGTGTACTGCTCTGTACAGTAAGTACGTTCAAAAAGTATTTGTTTATGTTAGTAACCAACGAACGGCACTTCATAATGTTTTTATGGAGAAGTAGATAAAAATTGGGCAATTTTGCTTCACTGTTGGATGACCATGGACACACAGGTGGAGGGATAATGTAACAGCGCCCTCTGCTGGTCTTTTGATTTGTAACATGACAGGCTCATTTTCTTCCAGGTGATCAATTCCTAGGACGGGGTGGAGAATTTAGACTTAGACATTTATTGTAATTTCGTATACACACAGAGTATAAAGCTAAATTTAGTTTTGTACATTTTACATGACATTTCCATTTCTTAAGGTGTAGCTGTGCAGCTATGATCAGATGTAGGGAGAAAAAAACATGGTGCAAAAACAAAACAAAACAAAACAAAAAGCCTTGATATGGTTCGTTTGATACTCAAGAGGATTAGGCCCCTCAAAATAAATAAATAATTAAATAAATAAATGAGGAAAACGTCAGAATTCTGAGATAAATATTATATATTAAAAAAATTAGTTAACTTATTTTTTTTCAGTGGCCCTAATCGTCTTCCGTAGTTTGATGCAGAGTTTGTGACACGAGAAAAGGGAGGATAATAAAAACAATGTGAGAAAGAAAGGAAAGGAAATTATAGATATAATGTAATCATCACATTGATATGGCCCATGCTACATACTCTGGTGGCGGTATGCACCAAAAAGTTAAGGTTTTAATCTTCAAAATAGTCATTAAAATTTTTTTTGTTTTTTTTTCTCGTGTGGTCCACTTTCCTACCAGTTGATGGCGATATTTAAACCAAAAGGAGAAGAAGAATCCGAAATAAAAATAACGAAGAAGAAGACTGACACCCAGCTTGATACGAGTCAACTGGTTGTCCTGGGTTTGGTTTGACAGGTGGGTTAGGAGCTTTAAACACCCACGACAGATAAAATACCAATTTATTCCCAAAAATCTGGAACTTGCCCGCTTTTGGTCACTGGGTGTGTTTGTTTATCAACTCCAAGGTTGTTAGGTTAGCTAGCACACATCTATGCTGCATTTAGTGTTGCTTGAAACTGAAAACGACGGAGTCGGAATCGGGACATTTTTATACCTTTTTCTTCTGTGTCAGACAAAAACGCTCCTTGGAGGTGCTTAATAACAAATCATCGATAATGCCGAACTTGCATTAATCGAATATATCTCACACTGATTCATTAATAAGTAGGCTGTCTACTGTAACTTCTAAATAATAAAAATGTTCTTTTACTTTAATACCCTTGACCTCTATACAACACCGTGGTTCAGGTTAAAACCTTTACTACCATGACATTCTATTTATGAATTGTTTCCTCACATGGATCTATTCTAGCTTGAAAATTAACATTCCAAATTCCGAGTTGCTTTTGAACGCAGCTCAACTTTCAGCTAATAAACTGTGGGCAGGCCTTTTAGCTGGAACAGCTTTTGAATATAGAAGGACACAAACTGTTTTCCAATTTACTGTGTAATCCTAATCTCTTTTATACGGTTCATGTCCCTTCTGATGTCTATTACTTAATAATAATAATAATAATAATAAGGAATAATACAAAAACAAATTCAGCAGATTGATTTTCAAATTTGTGAAATATAGTTAAAAAAAAAGCTTTTCCTAAAAGAAGAATTAGATAAATATATTGTTCCCAAACATACAAGAAATAATAACAAGGTTAGTCTGAAAGCAAATATAGTAATGCATGAATGACACAATTGAATTACTGTTATAATAAAAATTATTCAAACTGAAAAATATCCTGTATCTTTAGTATCGGATTAACATTTAATTCTTATGTAAAAACTTCATATATTCATATAGACATTACATTGATTTTAAGGTTTTTCAAAATATGCTATCTCAGAAAATATTTTCATTTGGCAGTTCAAACATTGCATGTGATACTTTGAGTGCAAGTGTCACTTTATCCCCTTTTCAAACATAAACATGAAATTATATATATAATAATTATATATCTGATTATCATAATGTTTGATTGTTGAATTTGCTTTTATTTTTTATTTTTAATGGTTTTACCTGAAAGAAAGTTAGTCATTCATTAATTTCTCATTGCCCTACCCCTTCTCTAGAGAAATGTACCTTTAGGAATAAAGAGTGGGGTCCTATGGATGGTAAAAACCTGGGGAATCAGTACAAGAACATCTAACCGCCTCAGACACAGATAACATGAATTATATGTCATATCTAGACAGCGGGTATTGTAATGTTTTTCTTCCCCACTAGTTCTAGAACCTGATGATTATACACCGTTTCACCTGTGGAGCCAAAAACACTCACCTTTATGCCCAGCTGAGAAAGGCGTGGGGAATACAGGCCATGGCGAGACCCAGCTCAGGTAAACCTGGTTGAATACTTTGTAAAACATTTTTTAATTATGTGTCTACATCTCTATATTTAGAATTTAACCATCCTTTTATGTTAATCTTTAGACCTGGCGGCGTTCAGGGAGATTTTCTCCAAATCCAACAACATCGCCATCATCACAGGAGCAGGAGTGAGTGCCGAGAGTGGAGTCCCAACTTTCAGAGGAGCAGGAGGCTACTGGAGAAAATGGCAAGCACAGGTGGGCTCCTGCTGGTATTGGTTTAGGGCAGACAAGAACTAACAAAATAAGACATCCTAAAAATGTTACTGTCTTGATAAGCCTTCAAAACAGTTAAAAAAAACAACATCTAGAACAGGGTTCCTGCGGGTCCTTAAAAAGTCTTAAAAGGCATTGAATTCTTCAAAATAAAACTAAGGCCTTAATTGGTATTAAAATGTCTTAAATCAGTCTTTCGTAGGTCTTAATATTTAAAACATCATAAATAGGATTATTTTTATTACAATTTGTTTTTGTAATCTAAATAAAACGTTAAAATTGACAATTATTATTTTTTTTAATAACAAAAAAAAATAATGGCTAGCCATTATTGGTTTCGTCCCAATAGCGGAACCAATAAAAGCGTTGTTGCAGCCGGGACATTTGGGAGATGCGCCATTTACTTTTTGTCTGGAAAATATGAGCAAATGTAAATGTAACCAAAATTGTCTATCCAGCCAAGAGTTTTCTCCATGGCTAAAACCAGTACCAGGGGACATACATGAGGCACAGTGTATTTTGTGCAAGAATTAATTCAAGCTCGGAACAATGGGAATTAAGGTAGTGGAGACGCATGCAAATCACGAAACACAAATGGTCAAAATGGAGTTACAGAGAAACAGCCCGTATTTCTCAGTTTTGTTCCACCCTTGTCTCTGCAACGCCTCCACTTATGACCAAATCAAACATACTAAGAAAACGATACAAAGAAAAATAGCTGCAAAAAAAGCTTAGCACTGGTTATGTTGTGGCTTTAAAACCGATTTTTTTTGTTCCCTGCCAAAACAAAGTTTGTGAATTCAGTTAAATAATTTTTGAAATATATCCGTCATTTGTTTGTTTTTAGCTTTCCTTCTGCATTGAAAGGTTTTCAAAATTTTAAACATTGGTGCAATGGTTTATGTTAAAATAAACCTTTGGGTAAAGTGGTCGCAAGCAGGTTTTTCTTGTGTTTCTTGTGAATTTGGTCCTAAATTTTTATTTCAATTGGCATTAAAAAGTCTTGAATTTAAATTGCCTTATGCTGTAGGAACCCTGTAGAATTATTTTAACCAGTTTGAATAGTTTTTTTTTGTTTGTTTTTTATATGGAAACATTCATTTAAAAATACCTAACTGGTGATGGTCAGATAATATTACTGTAGGAAATTAAAAGGATGACATTAAACAAATTTCCATATCTGTTGCTATGTATCTGCAGTTGTCTCTCTCCCCTCTGTTGTATCTGTTCATCTTACACTTAGTGGTGATTAGCACTTAACATACGTACATAAAAACAAACAAAAAAACCCAACACACAAACTAAGCAGTAAGAGATCAAATAAACAAATAAAATGAACACAGAGGACCACACAATTATATGGTGTTAAAAGCCAAAGAGTAAAAGTAGGTCTTAAGACGAGACTTAAAACACTCAACTGTGAAGTGCTGTTCGTTTAAGGAGCGGCAAAGTGTTCTAAAGTCTGGGGCCAACTACAGAAAAGGCCCTTTCCCTTCTGGTTTTTAAGTCTCTTTTTAGGCGCTATTAGCTGAAGATGGCCCTTAGACCCCAGAGCACGTGCTGGAAAGTAAATCTGGAGGAGGGCGGTAATGTATTTAGGAGCCACCCCATTAAAAGCTCTAAACATAAACAAACAAATCTTAAAATAAATTCCTAAACGAACAGGGAGCAGAGATGCAGAGATGCAAGAATCGGGGTGTTGATGTTTTCTGGTCCCTGTTAAAAGAGGAGCCGCTGAGTTTTGGATTAGCTGCAGACGGGAGAAAGCTAGTTGGCTTTTGCCATTGTTTTCCATCTGTAAACACTAGTGGGCTTAAATAGTTAATCTTAATAAATTACTTTTTTTGCTGTATGTATGTTCAGTTATCAGATTATTCTAAGATGCATGCCTTTTGAAAACTGTTGCTGTTTTCTTCAGCGGTTTGGTTGGGTTTCATTTAGCTCAAGGATATGTTTTATCTGAAACTACATTAAGAAGAGTTATTGCTCTGTCTTTTTGGCTTTTATCAGGAACTTGCCACTCCAACGGCCTTTGCTCACAATCCCTCCCGTGTTTGGGAGTTCTACCACTACCGTCGGGAGGTCATGCTAACCAAGGACCCAAACCCAGCCCATCTGGCCATCGCAGAATGCGAGCAACGTCTTGGCAAGCAGGGCCGAAAAGTTACCATCATCACACAGAACATTGATGAGTTACATCGCCGTGCTGGATCAAAAAACCTGTTGGAAATCCATGGTGAGAGCTCTTTCTAACCTCTTATGTAGCTCATGTATACCCAGCAAAGATTTGCTTTGTTTAGACCAAACTGAATGAAAAGCTTTAAATAGATGACCTGAAGCCCAAATGTTTTGATGGTTATCTTCTTGGTATTAATCTGTCTCTGTTGCTCTGTATAAATGCAGGTAGCTTGTTTAAAACCCGCTGCATGATGTGTGGCCACGAGCAGGCCAATTACAAGAGCCCTATTTGTGCCGCTTTAGAGGGCAGAGGGTAAGTGCTCATCTGATCTTGTTTGGTGTCGACCGTTTTCCCAGAAGGTGTGAAATGTGTTTTAAGAGATATCGATCGCAGCCGCTTGAAATGCCACAGAAAAACAAGGCTGTCTCTTTCAGCTGAATGTCACAGAGCTAAATAACACCTGATGACACAGTGGAAAGGAGAGATTTGACTCAGAACAAATGTCCCTCTGAAAGCCATAAAGTGTTTTATCTGACCTTCAAAATAGATGTATGATTGAAAACTAAATTCCCATTGTTAAAATTTCGACTCAACTGCAGAATAATAAAGAGTTCATTATATTCTGTCAATTAGATAATAATTGACAGAATATAATGACGTTACTAGGGCTGCAACTAACAATTATTGTGTAAATCGATTAATCTGTCTATTATTTGTTTGATTTATCGATTAATAATCGGATAGACAAAGATTCCTTAAAGAATATTTTTACAAAATTAAACCAGGAAAAACTAAACCTTTGCCACTTGAGGAGTTCTGGGCAAAGCATATTGACAGATGAAAACATTTTTTTTTATCTTAAATGCAAAATGTATAAACATATCTAAGTGGGTTGCTCTGTCAGCTAAAGGTATGTTTTAAAATCTCTATACTCCAATTAACGATTAATTAATTACTAAAGTAGATGGCGATTATTTCAATAAATGATTCATCACAATTAATCCAATGAATTGTTTCAGCCCTTGATGCAACCATTAATACCAGAACTAACTAATCTTCGGTAATTTGACTGCCTGCAGAAAAGAGTTAAGAGTTCAGATGTGTAAACTTCTTTTATTTAGGTAAGAGTTGCTTACCTATTTGATAGTCCTAAAATATACATTTTAGGACTATCAAAAGTCAAGATAAGGTTTTGCTTTAAGAGCCTTGTCTTTTTTATGTCTGCTTTGAGAGATATTGATTACACTGTGTTATAGTCTAATCTCTGAGCAGCAGCTCTTTGTCTCCTTAGAGCTCCTGACCCGGATACTCAAGACGCCCAGATTCCTGTTGAGCAGCTTCCTCGGTATGTCACTCTCACATAATTTCAACCTGTTAGTGTTTGTTTTTTCTCGACACTGATTTTTCTTTTTATATGCACAATGCATGATTGTTTCAGATGTGAACAGAGAGGCTGTAATGGCCTCCTGAGACCAGCTGTGGTTTGGTTTGGAGAGACCCTGGATGCAGACATCCTCTCTCATGCAGAGAAAGCCTTGGACGGCTGTGACCTGTGTCTCGTAGTAGGTGTTTGGGATGCTTTCCTATACATATTTGTTTATAAACACAGTTTAAAACAAACTTGCAATAAATTACATTTAAGATGATTCACATGTTTGTTTATCATTTTGCTGAATATCCCAGATAAAAAACAAACAAACAACTGATTAATATAAAACTGTGCTCACATCAGATGGAAGCCAAGATGATAAGAATGATTAAAAAACCCTCCAAAGTTAAGTAATTCAGTGATTTATTAATAATTAATAATAAATTCAGTTTATGTTTAAAGCGCCAATTCACAACACGTCATCTCAAGGCACTTTACAATTGAACCAGAGTCAAATTGATTCAAAGTTTTCTATCTAAAGAAAACCAGCTTGCATCGACTCATTTACTCGAAGGCAATCCCTCACATTAAACGTGCTCGTAGCGACAGTGGAGAGGAAAAACTCCCTTTTAACCGGAAGAAACCTCCAGCAGAAGCAGGCTCCGTGTGAGCGGCCATCTGCCGAGGCCAACTGGGGTTCAAGGAGACAGAAGCAGAAAAAGACATAACATAATACTCTCCTCACCATTTAAATTAGGGATCTTTCTCTATGTTACATCCATACCTGGGGAATCATGTACAAGAGTATGCAGCTTTCATAATGAAGTTTATGAAACCTGCACCACAAATTCAAACTTTTCTGGCCCACAAAAGAATTCCGATGTATGAAATGCTGTCACTGCTTGCTTTACCTTCATATATCCTAAAAATAAACATTTATACTTTGTAATAAGAAAAGGAAGAGAAAATACTTAATCTGGCTTTTTTTCGTTTCAAGTTGTTTGTATTCAAACAGCTCTAAACTGCTACAATCAGCTCAATAATTGTTCATGTATAGCTAATCATTATAATTCATGTGGATAGAAACGGCCCACATTTCTGTATGGGGGAAAAATTATTTGGAAAAATTGTAAAAATGTAGGGGGCTCTGTTTTTAGGTTTTGTAAAGAAATTGGGAGGTTTATTTCAAGTTTTCTGCAAACTTCACTGTTCCTGCAGGTTGGCACCTCTTCAGTCGTGTATCCAGCAGCCATGTTTGCTCCTCAGGTGGCAGCCAGAGGTGTCCCTGTGGCTGAATTTAACATGGAGAACACTCCAGCCACTGAGCGCTTCAAGTATGTATGCATTTAATCATCACTTTTACAAAAATAACCTGCTTTATTTCAATGATTATAAATAACAATGAAAGCTACATTTTGGTAATGTTTCCCTCCGGTTGCAGGTTCCACTTTCATGGCCCCTGTGGAACCACCTTACCCCCTGCCCTGGCACGCCACGAAAGTGAGCCAAACTGAATACTGAACTGTAATGCCAAAATGCTGTGACACAAGATGGTAATAGGGAGGAGCTGGAGGAGGATACAAGGGAGACTTATGCACATTCAACAGTGAACTTCACTGATGAGCATGGTTTTAAATATTGTTTTGTAGCTTTGACTTGTGAAAATTATGTATATTTAAATGTCTGGAAATCAAAAACTTGAATGCACAGCAATATTTCTTACATGTGTAACAGCAGGTGGCAGTGTTTAGCTGCTGCTGCCTTTTAGAGGTGGTGTGACTGCTAGCTGGGACCTTTGTTCCACTGTGATGTGTGTTTTTCTTTTTTGAGGTATTAAATAAGCCATAATTAATAAAAAAAAATGGCTAAGCTTCTTTATGTTTGCCTGTGTTTGTGTGCAAATGAGCTGCAGAAAAAATCTACATCCTTAGCTTAAGCACGCAGCCATAGGAGATCTCTATTAAACACAATGGTTTGATTCCTAAAGATTATATCTCCCCTGATAATTTCCTGCTTGACCTCAACTGACCCTCCACACTCATATTATAGTATATATATGTAGATGTGTGTGATCACACATACATGCATATGTAGGTCTGTATATCTGCACTGCAAAAACGATAAGAAATTAGTAAATAATTCTTAAATTAAGTGTATTTACCCTTAATTTGAGTATTTAAATAAGATGATTTTCCAATTGAATGAGTATTTTTACCTCCTAAATTCAAGAAAAAATGCACACATTTTAAGTAAAAATGACTTTCATCGACATATTGTGTTTTCATCAGTATGCAACAATAATAAATGCTTTTTAAAAATTTAGCATTCATTTAATTTAATTTTTTATCTCAAGCAAATTTACAGGACATCCTCCATAACAAGTAAGTCAATTTGTGTGGAAAGTTATATCAGTGCAACGGGGGGTGGGGGATTCAGAAAAATTCCTGGTTTTATAGCAAAAAATCTGATTATGTTTAACACTTCTGTTGTGTGTGGGCACAAACAATGCAGCTCACTTCAATTTTTACTAAATAAACAAGAGCTAAGCTTCTGCTGGGCTCTGACAACAGACGTTATCTAAATCTGTCTTATTATTTCGAAATTCAAGATGGCTTCTCGGACTTGCACCTTTTTTTTCTCTCTGTTTTTACTTGCTTTCTTCTCCCAGTGCTGTGTTCCCTCTCATCTGCAGATCTGCCCGATCGCTGTGTTTGAGACACCAGTTATCCCTCCCAAGCAACTCCTCCATCACCTGCTCATTAGAGAGAGGATGATGGTCCGATGATCCCCCATGACTCTGCTCCAAAAATAACAGAGCCAATTTCCCGCCTGTTAGGCGGCGATTTCACACCAATCTGAAATGTACTGTCCAGCATGGTCTGTCAGACGGGAAAAGAAAAAAAGGTGCAAAAGTAAAGAAACCAAGGGCAGGCAAAAACATGGGTCATACCCAAACAAGCTTTTCCTTCTATTAACACATTGTGTTTTTCAGTAAATTGCTCTCAATATTTAAAAACTTTTGTCAACATTTTGAATATCTTTATACTTCATAGAGTCAAATCCATAAATTAACTTAAGTGTATTCCCGGTTTAAAAAAGCACAACACACAAGCCCAAGCCTGGTCTTCTCACTGACATTAAACCAAACTAAACTTCTCTTGTTTAGAACACACAGAATTACTGCTATTTTACCTTGCTAAATTCCAGAATACTATGAGATTTTAGCTGAAACCGGTTTATAGGGCCCATTGTTCTCACAGATCATTTAAGATCCACCCAAAAAAAAAAAAAAAAATCATATAAAATTTGTCCACTTTGTAACTAAACTGGTTCTGGTCTTAAGGGTCATAGTACATTTTGATCACCTATATGTCCCACGTTTTATCTCCCTGGGAGATGATTTGAAATGTTGCAACAATATTCCAAATCATTTTTTGGCTTATTATGTCGTCTCTTATAAAGTGCACCAGACATTTTTTATTCCTTCCCCTCTACATGATGCTGTCACTTTCATACAACACAATTGGGATGATATTCTGAGAATTTGTAAGCCCCCTCCAACCTCCTTCTAATATAATGACAGCCATGTATAAAACTATACAAGCCTCATTTGGACTCTCTTCAGATGCTTAAAGTCCTTTAAAAAGGTTTGGTAACACTGAGCTATGGCAGTCATTCACAGTGCATTGTAATGCCTGTTCTAAGCTGGGGCCTTTTGTCTGAGCTAGAGGAGTTTTCTTATTTTAGAGTTATCTTTTTGAGCTTGGATGATGGGGAAAAATGAAAAAGCTTCTTCACTGGTTCATAAAAAAAAAAAAAATCTATGCTCATTAGATTAAGAACTGATGAAATGACTTAAGACTCAGAGATAGCTTCAGTTGAAAGGTTTTGAAGTTTGCTCTTCCATTTTGGATTTTATCTCGTTAGAAGTTATTCCCATATATCAGGGCTCTTCAACTTTTCCAGACAAGGACCCCCAAACTGATAGCGATAGTGGGGACCCCCTAATTATATATATTGTATGAAATTGTGTTACATCAAACTGGTCCTATAGTCACTCTATTACATATGGAGTAATGTAAAGAGAGTAATTTCTGATTCTGATTCCTCATTAATGGGACAGGTGTCGTAAATGAAACGGTGCCCAGCTTGAAAGAGCTCCTGTGTGTCGCTGAATGTGTGCATTGATGACTGAAAGACATCTGCCTCCATTTATCTATTTACTACAGTGTGAGGAATTCATGTTAATGTGTATTTAAAGACATTTCAATTAGTGAAAAAAAATTGCAGGGGGTTATAAAAAAAAAAAAAGTCTAATCAAACAAAACTTTCACGACCCCCTTGCAGTACCTCCGTGGACCCCGTAGGAGTCACAGACCCCTTTTTGAAGACATCCGCCCTGTCATAACAATAAGACAGTTCACTGGGTTTAAATAAAACAGGTAAACGTTTTTTTGATGTCTGATGTTCTGTGCCTGGTTGCAGGGACCCAGCTCACTTTTAAATACTTTATTTAGGGGAGCAAACCAGCCTTCTGAATCTAGGACTAGGGCTTACATCTTCTAAAACATCCTAATAAACAGTATAAACAACAGCCACAGCTTGTTCAAGAAAAAAAAAACAGTATAAAGAACAACATAAGACATGGATAATAGTAGTATGTACGTACAAGTTTGAGTGTGCAGTCATTTCAGTCATACGGGTAGAGTTGTTTAGCATTTCACCCAGAAACCAAGAGAAGATGAGTTAATTACTAACCAAATAACTACAACCATACACAATATTGTATAAATTATGCAAAACAGGAAAAATGCAAACAATAAAGTATCAACTTTACTGTTCAAGCAGTCAGTAAAGAAAAAAAGTCACTCACAGCAAAACAAGTGTTGCAGTGTAAAGAAGAATTACAGCAGCATTTCCTCCTGGGCCAAGGCTGGATCAAGGGTGCAATAAATATCTACGTCAGTGTAACTGTGTCACCAGCCAAAGCTCTGGTATGGATATATTCTGATGCAGTCCCTCTATGACTCCAGTTTTATGATCTGTACACCCACATGTTGCCTCTAATGGACTTGAGCTTGTATTTTTTTGGTTGAAAGAACAAAATGGTGTAGCTGTTTTCCCAAAAGCTTGGTTGCTCCATTGCAGAAACATTTGCAGATAATAAATATTTGCTTAGGATTAGCACCTGTAGACACTTGCTTGACTTTCCCTATTCCTGCTCATGAAATGGTCAGAAGAAGAAGAAAAAATAGGTTGCACACAAATTATAGACCAAAAATTAGGTTGCAGAGATATAAAACACAATTATTAAAGTAAATAGTTCTACAAGGGTTTTTTGTGCTATTTAAAATGGTACAGATCATGATTTTCCAACATCCCAACAAATGACACTAATGCAAACATTTCAGGTTAACCAAACAGACTCACTAGATTAAATGTACAGTGTCCATGAGTGTGTGCGTATGAATAATTTCTCACCTTGTAAATTCGATGTGAACCAACAGAAATTCCAATTAGAAGATATATTTTTTCTGTGCAAACTTGAGCATCATATTTTATTTATTCATTTGGCAAAACGTGAAAGCGAATTTACTTTGAGCCTGGAGTCAAAACATGCCCGCCCCTGTTTCAGCAAACACAGCAGCTGCTCTCAGCATCATTGATTTTTCATTCACACCCAGAAAAATGTTAACTTCATTCATTCTGTGGAGAGAACAAAACTAACGCAAGACCATCTGTGGTCTCACTGTGCAGGATTTATTCTGTGTAAAGTGTTTACAAAGGAGGAGTTGCTTTCTGCAGACTTCTATGAGGATCTTGAAGGTGTTTATAGATAAAACAATCAAATCATGGAGGGGAATAATTTTGTATGCTTAAATGTTTTATATAAATGCAATAAAGTTGAACATTAAAATTTTTTGTCCTCTTACAGTGCTTAAGTGACATGAATCTTAAAGCTATCTATTTCAACTCATAGTTGAAATTGTATTTATTAATCGAGTATACATCTAAAATATAGTTGGGTATAACACATATTTTCTATAACTTTAAGTTTCTACTAAATAATGTTACTGTAGGTTACATTGCCTTGACTAATTGTAGGAGCTTGAAAAAATGCTTTGGAAAGAAAGAAAAAAATTAAAAGAATTGGGTCAATCATGGAGTTTATCTTGCCACCAGACTGGATATTTGGGAGGAATGCGAGAAAAAAATTATTCTTATTTAACTGTCATAAAGGTTATCATGAAAATTTTTTTTCCGTTTCACTAAGATGTAATCTGGTCTGCTTTGGTCAGTTACCCTTCTGGAACAAAGACTCTTTTTGGGTGTGCCAAGAAACTAAGAAGTAGTAGAAACTAATCCTATGCACCACTCTTTAGTGAGACAGAGGATTTCTATGCTATGGTCCTTTACACCCCGTCATAGTTCATAGCATTACAATTTTATTTGAAATGTCGACATTTCAGTATATCAATATTGAAAGATACACACATCCGAAGAAGTAAATTTAGGTTTCAAAATAATGCCTGTCCAAATTTTCAATCAGTCAGTTTGCACCTGAGCAGCCTGTATTTGGAGCATTGATGTTTTAAGCACCTGGAAGCCATCCTCATAAACACAATCCAAGTCAGATGCAAATGAATTACCCCCACGTCATTCTCCTGGATCCAAACCAAAACATTTGAGAAATTTGGGAATAGGTCAAGTTTTAACTAATTTAGAGCAATTTGAATATGTTCAAAACATTTCACACAGCAAATCCATAAGGCAACTTTTGTTAAATGATTTAA